GGAAAAAACCCGCCCGCGAACCCCGCGGGGGCGGCGGGCGGGGGCTGCGGGCGCCCGCGCCCCCCGTACCCGCAAAAAATTTCGGATCTGGCCCCCGCGCCCGCCCGCGACCGCAAAAAATTTCTGATTTGGCCCCCGCGCCCGCCCGCGACCGCAAAAAATTTCTGATTTGGCCCCCGCGCCCGCCCGCGCCCGTACAAATTTTTTTCAGCCGCCCGGGGCCCCCTTCCCTCGCCTTGAATTTAAATTGAGCTTGACGGCCAAATGGCCGATTCCCCCCTTTTTCTCCCTCCTTGGTTTTTGAATTCAAGGGATTCCCCTGTTTTTTCAACTCTTTATCACAGGTCTCATGGCATGTTAACCTTACAACGACAAACCGGAATTTCACCCGCCGACGACAATTGTGGCATGTATGGCACATGGATTTTAATGCCATCGTTTGATCAATAGAATGCCCGAAACCAAAGCCTAACCCAAACCAAAACAGAGCCCGAAACCTAAACTCGAACATGAACCTAGTGTCCATCCCAGTCTAGTGACCAAAATGGAAGAAATGGAAGAAAAGAGAAAAATGGGCGTTAAAAAGTTTTTGTGCCATATATTCCTAGCTTTCTGAGAATCATTTTGATGTATCACACTATCCCTTAACAAACATCTTAACCCGAAATTTTTGCCCACGTAAAAATGGGTATAAATAGTACTAAGCGTGAAAATGGCGATTTTTTCCGCCTTCGGGCCGTCTCAGCCCTGTTCCATGATTTTTGAATTTAAGGGCTTGACGGCCCTTCGGGCCGTCTCAGCCCTGTTTCAAGATTTTTGAATTTAAGGGGCTTGACAATGGCTGGGAACTCTAAGTTGATCAATCTCAGTTTTGTCCCCAACCCCACCCACACCCATCGTTTGAAAAATTCAAATTATCTTAGTTTATAACTCTATTATGGTTTTTATCAAAAATTATTTTTTTTATTTGCTGATTTCTGAACCCGCGGGGCTTGCGGACGCGAGGGTTACGGGCGCCCTCCACCCCCCGGGCGCCCGCGGGCGCGAAAATCTGCGGGGCCCCCGCCCGCGCCCGCCCGGACCCGCACGAAATTTTTGAGTTGGCCCCCGCGCCCGCCCGGACCCGCAGGAAATTTTGGAATTGGCAACCGCGCCCGCCCGCACCCGCGGAAAATTTTGAAATCGGCCCCCGCGCCCGCCCGCGCCCGCGGGAAATGTTGCGGGTTTTCCAACACTGCCCTCTAGCGTCAAGGCTTATTCTTATGCTTGAATCTGGCTTCTTCAAAATAATCAGCGGTATGTTAAAGTCAGATTGTGTCTCTTCGATAATCCCCAATGATTTCCAACTGTCAATTTCGTTTTCAACTTGGTCTCGGATGTGCACTAGAATCGGTCGTGTTGGTTTGTGGCTCGATTTTGATTCGTCGTGAGTTGGTAAAGCGAACCTGAATCCGTGAAGTTAACCAAGATCTTCACTTGACATTGAGAATGAGAGACGATACTTCTCCACAAGTTCAGTAAGAATCGCTTATTCGACGTCAGTTGCGGCGCCAAAGCTTCCAATTTTCGGAGAAAAATTGACTTCATTAGCTAGAGACTCGCGTGTTTTTCGGAATATTTCAAGTGAAGCGGCTTCTGATTCAGATTTGAGGTCCACTTCAATGATTGCTGAAATTTTGATAAGATTTGACGCGTTTTCTGGAGATACTGTATTGACTCTGTAATTTTCCAGCGTAACGTAATTCTCTCCAGCATTAAAGGACAATTTTTTCAGGCAATCGAGCCCAAGTATAATCGGTACACTAAGGTCATTAACCACCAAAGGAGAGCGATTCAGGGTAAAATATCCATCCGGTGAATTGATTCGAAGTTCCACTTTAGAGCACATTGTTTTTCTGGATCTTAAGGGACTCCGCCGACCCAGCTTCACGCGCGCGGCTCGCTCTTCTTCACTCTCACTTTCAATGGGGACAATATTTTTCGATTTTCTTGAAATTTTAGGACCTAACTAAATCTTTTATTCTCTTTCACATCCACCTTTTAAAATTTTCATACGTTGTAGTTACGCTGAGTGGCGGCAAAAACTTGGACGCTCGATTTCAAGTGTACATAAGTACTCGAAATAATCGGATTGAGACTTTGATACTCGACTCATTGGAAAGCCCGTAGTCTCTTCTATAAAGGCTACGCTGTGAGATTATTTGAAAATAAATAAAATTAATATCATTGAGCGATAAAATAAAGGGACACAGCGGAGGCCGCGCGCTAACAATGTAAAAGGGCGGATTTCACGCCGAGCAATCCAGGTGACCCGCATTAATCCCTCGATAATCAGATAAGAAAACAATTCTTGGAAATCTAACAGCCTCCGAAATTTCTACTATGAAGTAGAGGAACTTGTCCGAACAACCTTAACTACTGGAAGTGAACCAGTTCCGGACGAGATCGTCAAGCAAATTGCCTTAGAGGAATTCCTAAGCAAATTGCCAAAGAAAATCCAGAATCATGATATGCTTAATGAGTTTCGTAAAAAGGTTGACAGTAAAAAACGCAAGTATGACGATGTCATTGAAAAATGCATCGAGTTATTCCACAAATACAAAAATGGTGAAATGGAAGTCAATACCATTCGCAATGACAAACAAAACTCCGGAAAATTCAAGTCTTACAACAACCGTAAGCCTGGCAATAAACAAGGCGGAAAGGTAATTTGCCATTATTGCCAGAAGCCGGGTCATAGGAAACCGGATTGTTGAAAATTAAAGTACGACATGTCACAGAAGAAAGATGGCGAAAAACAGAAAATTATCTGTAATTTTTGCCATAAACCCGGCCACAAAGCGAATGTTTGTCGAGCGAAACTTGCGGGCGACACTGGGAAATTGATCGGGTAGGTAACACTTCGAGCAAGTCAAAGTGATTGTTGTTGCAGAGGTGGTGTTTCGATGGACGAGTTTGTATCTCTTTTTTCTGTCGCCGTGCTCGAACCACCATGCGACTCCATCTTTTCTGTCGGATGTTGTGATCTCGATGAGAAATCCTTTTTCTTCGCTTCCTCTCTTGTCGTCTGTGTCAAGTTTTTTTATTTCTTTCAAAAAATCCATTTTTTGATTTTTAAGGAATGAGCAAAATGAAGAAAAAGATTCCCCTTATATGAGGAAATTTTGGTGAATCGGCATTCTATTTTAAGAACTGAATCCTCCGGTATCGAACTAGAAAGGCGGCAAAAAAAGGTGACAAGTCTCACGCTCCATCCGAAAGAGCTATCAATTCGATTGAACTCGCTTCTCCATCGCCAATTCATTATAAAGATCGCTGGGACTTTCGTAATGTCCCCCATCATATCAGCAGAAAATTATCAAAACTAATTGCCCCTTACCACTTGGGTTAGGTTCCTTGGGTTAGTTTCTACCTTGGGTTAGTTTCTACCTTGAGTTAGTTTCTACCTTGGGATAGTTTTTACCTTGGGTTAATTTCTACCTCGGCTTAGTTTCGAAAGGTTTCAGGGTTAACAAGACCTCCGGGAAAGTCCTCAGGGAAGTCTCGTCCCTCGTGGAAGTCTCGTCCCTCGTGGAAGTCTAGTCCCTCGTTGAAGTCTCGTCCCTCAGGGCAGTCTCGTCCCTCAGGGCAGTCTCGTCCCGCAGGGCAGTCGCGTCCCTCAGGGAAGTCTCGGCCATTCGGACGATAGGCGGCCGGTCTTTAATTCGACCTGGACGCGAAGAGTACTCGAACCTTGGGTAATTCCTCGGGTAATTCCTTCTGCCTTTGGAAGTTTTTGCCCTCGGAAGTTTCTGCCTTTGGAAGTTTTTGCCCTCGGAAGTTTATGCCTTTGGAAGATTCTGCCTTGGGAAGTTTCTGCCCTCGGAAGTTTCTGCCTTGGGGAGTTTCTGCCCTCGGAAGTTTCTGCCTCTGGAAGTTTCTGCCCTCGAGAATTTCTGCCTTTGGAGGTTTCTGCCCTCGGAAGTTTCTGCCTTTGGAAGTTTCTGCCCTCGGAAGTTTCTGCCCGGAAGTTTCTGCCTTGGGAAGGTTCTGCTTCGGGAGATTTCTGCCCTGGGTTTATTCCTACCCTGAAAGTCTTCAAGTTAGCATTTTCGCGTCTGCTGTACGTGGAAGTTGTCAACCACGCGTTTTCGCGTTTGGGAGGTTGAGGACCTCGGCCATGGTAACTCCGCTAACGACGTCAAAATCTGTAGGGAGGTTCCGGACCTCGCTCTTATCGCCCGTCCGGCTCCGGTAAAAGCCCTAACAACCACAAAAGTCTAAGGGAGGTTTTCAACCGCGGCCCTTATCGGCTCTTTCACTTTTACTCTTCCCTGGCTGGCAAGAGAAGGCCCTTGTAAATAGTTTTTTTACGACCTTTTTTGAATAAGCAGATTGTTTGATAAAACCACAGTGAGACAAATATAGGGAATGTTCTATCATTAGGGCTAGAATCGGAAGCTTAAAAGTGGGGCCGCAACGCCGTAAACACAACATTATCGTCGTAAATCTGTAAGGCGGAGCACGCTGAAGTCGGTCAAAATATCATAGATGTCTTGCAGAGCAGCTGGTACCGGAGAGATGCCATAAATTCCAAAATTGCGAAATGCGCACCACGAGGGGGCCAGAGCTCGACTAAGGAAGACCGGAAAGAAAAGAATCGAGACCAGATCATTCGCACACTTCGAGAAAAGCAAGACAACCAGAGTTCGATTAATCATCAGCTCTTCAAAACTGAGAGAATTCGCCACGGCGCCCATTATGCCAGACACAGTTGCCAATCTCGGTACAAAGGTAGTTATACTTGCAAATTTAAAAGTAAACGGGAAAACAGTAGTTAAAAAGAGGGAATAACAAGAAAAATTAAGTACCACTTGACCGAAGAAAACATCAGCAATTTCTACGAAATCATCAGCCTAGCAATTCCATCTATCAATCCGCCAGAACACGTTCTTAGGCTCATTAGGAACCTCAAGGAACGAAAAGAATACCTCCGGAGATTGACATAAAGGAAGAACGCCATGCTCTTCGGCGACGTGCTGGCTCTCGCAACGAAAGTAGACCTGGACTCGCCCCTTCACGACATCACGTTCCTAGACAACCCAAAAACGGCATTTGCCGTGATCGCCGAGATAGCTCGCCTCAGGGATCTTCACGAGAACACGCTCGGGTGGCCAAGTGCTCACGACAGCTTCGAGATCAAATTCGCACTACGAGACTTCACGGCCGCGGAACGAATTTCCGGTTGTCTGACATCGGCCATCTGGGCAGACAAAGAAGATAACCCCGGGAGTGTAGATTACACTCCGATCGTGAATTGGGTGCTCAAGCAGAAGAACAGGCAACACTCAACGGCAACAATCAGACAAACAAGGGGATGCCTCGACGACGCCGCCAACATTCTTCTTGGTGTCACAACAGACGACGACTGCATCCTCAGCCTCCGCGTGCACCGAAGACTCACTGTTGATGAACACTTCCGCATAACCGAAATAGTGAACTCGTCCCTCAACGACGCAACATGGACCGTGACTCGACGAAGTGGATGGATGCGAATCGCAAGCGAGGCCATTCTTCACCGACTCTTGAGCGGAGAAGTCCAGCTGATCGAATAATGCCAACAACACGTAGAAGCCAATTCAAAGAAGAAATTCCACTCAAACGTCCTTGCTGCTTATTGCCATTGTTTTCGATTTTCCTTCTATCACAAATCTTAACTCAACTCGGACCCGTTTATTTTCCCTAAAAATTGCATCACTTAAACATAAATCCTCTTCCATCACCAAATTACCAGCGTTTTATCAAATCAACATGCTTTTGATCTGATTCCTTTCCGGAAATAAGAATATCAAACGAAATAAACTGCGAAAGGTTACTAACGGTCAATCCTTTAGAAAAATGATCATGGTCATGAATGTGATGCAGACGCTTTACGAACTAGCGATGATCGAATCCCAGAGCCCCGATGGAATTTTCCTGGACTTCACACCGACCGAGTTTTTTCTTCGACCCCGGGGGAGTTCTAAGGTAGGAGAGGGGAAAAAAGAAGAGTATACGGATTAACGACTCGTTAAAGATGGGCCAGAGAATGCGAATCATCACAATTCTACTTGGACTCGCGCAGAATGAAAAGCCATACAAAAGATGCCAGATTGCTTACTGGAGCCTTTGGAGAGAACTCATGCGAATGGATTTAAAGATCGTGGAAACAATGAGCGCGGAAGCCGTTGGAATTTACCTGGAAATAGTCACTCTTGAAGCAAGAAAGAATTTTAGCTGAAAGTAAAGGAATGAGCTGTAAATAAAAAAGCAAAAGGGAGAATGAACCCTCGAGATTATAAAACCTCTATTCAGCATGACGCATGACGAACTTTTAAAAATATACACGATTCTTAACTTAGACTCAGCAAGGCGTAGATGTCGAGAGAATGGTATTCTCGGGAACGGTTTGATAACTCCAGGAATTCTCGATCAATTAGCAGAAATGGAGTCGGCAATAAGAACGCCTTGCCTAGTTAGTCTGGCATCCGAATTCTTCGAGCATAAATCACACGCAAATAGAAACATGGACCCGAGAGAAGCTACGCTCATACTCGCCCGCTTGGCCGGGGAGATTCTGGACCTCGTCTTTGAGAACAAAGAAGACAGCCGGCAACTAAGAGTCGCATCTACAATACTTAAGAGTAGTCTTCTTCTTGAGGAATACGAAGATAGTGATAGAACAATAAGATCTGCCATTCTCGAGATGAACCTCAACTTCTTGATTGAATAGAAGTAACTCACTGGATCAAATTTAGAATGGGAAATGCATCAATTCAGTTGACCCCGAAACTGCCACGTATCTGGTAGTCCCTCCGACCATCTTCCTCGGAACCTTGGGAATCATTGTCTGCGTTTGATTGTCTCGGATAGGAGTTACGGCCTATCCGAGATAAATCCGCCTTTCAAGTCGCCCAAGCAATGTTCAGTATCTTTATGGTACGGGGCCCGCCGCTTAATGTCACGTCCGACAATGCGATGGAATTTAAAAACGGCATGCTTGGGAGTCTACTAAGATCATTCGGAGTAGCCGAAGCACATGGAACACCCTACCGACCCCAATCACAGGGTCTCGTCGAACGCCTGAATTAAAAATTTAAAAAAGCTGTTAGAACTTATGGGAGCCCAACAAGCTAGGACTTGCTTCTCCCTGGAATCGCATTATCAATTAACCTAACGGTTCATAAAGCTTTAGGAATCTCGCCTTTCTACGCATTACATGGATGGAATACTGCACGGAAGAAAGCGAGACCCTGAAAGATGTACCATACAAGCATAGAGACTGGATCGCCTTAGCCGGGAAACATATGACTAAAACTCTTAGCCTGCTATCAGGCCGAGCGGTTCGTCCTGCGGAGAAATCGGTTTCTGACGCACCCGGTGTATAAGACGTTAACCAGGAAGTATTGCTGAAGCACGAGCAGCCACCAGCTGTATGTGGTAAGGTATTCCAGCCCTGGAAAGGCTGATTTTTCGTGAAAAAGCGCATTGACACGAATGCGTACCTGCTCAGTAATCCAGAAGTTCCTCGACGCCATTTCATTGCGCATAGGTCACGGATACGACCTATCGACCGTCACAAAGATGGCGAAGACTCAAAAGAAGAAGAAGGTCGACCCGAAAAAGTAAGTGGCTATTGATAACCAAGTCTTCAAAAGAAATATAGGAACTAGATGAGACGACCGAGGAAAACGAGCTCGAATGTCCAGAGCCACCGAGGTATCCGAAAAGAAAGAGAGCTCCGGTCAACTTCTGTCAGCTTAGACCAAGGTAACTCCCTAAGGGACAGGGATCAACGATAAGTCATAGAACTAAACTGTTGTTAAAGGCTACCGAGGAACGCTGCGAAAAAAAAAGAGCCCCATTATTACAAATGGAGACAAATAGAAGAAACAAAGAAGAAGAAGTTTATGCTGTTTGAGTTGAAAAAGTTCAATCCCTTTTAAATTCAAGAAAAAAAAAATAAGTTGTTTATGGGACCCTGTCTGAAAGGAAAACATTTAGAATGTATTATGATGGCGTTCCAAATATAAGTGTGAGTTGCAACAGCCTGGCAACCAGCGACAGCCGTGTTCGAGCGACATTGACCGCGATTGCTCAAAATACCTGGCTTGCCTTTGGCCTCCTCGCGCTTATTTTTCTGGTTGGGTTTGGCGTGGGCAAGACTGTAACACTGTGTTTCCTGAGAATCCTCAAAAAAAGAAAAATCCGTGATATTTCAGGAAGAAAAAATGAACAGACACTACCGTCATCTCCGACCATAGTAATGTAAGTGTCTTAATATGGGAAAAGATTAACTTAGCCTTCTTAGGCCTACGTCTTTTCAACGGGAGCCCTGGCCTCAAAGAGCGATGCTCTACCCCGCCCTCCTGGAAAGAGCATCTCCGCACAATTCCGAATACTTCGTATAAATCGCAGAAAAGCGAGACGCTCTACAATGTCACTGTTAAACCTCAATTCCATTATGTCTCCTGATGAGTGAACATAACTTGATTAAGCCGAGTAATTATGCTATCCCTTTCAGACTGTCGCATAGGATAATTAATAACTTAAAGGTGGTTGACCGAAAAACAGTGAGCGGCTCAGTCCACAGCGCAGAGTTAAAAATCGCTAGTGGATTGGATTCAAATCATGCCTTTCGATGCTTGTCGTCTGCTCAACGGAAGAAATCCGAATCCAAATCATGAACAATTTTCGGATCGCCTGCCCGCTTGATCAGCTACCTTGTCAACCGGACCAGTGTGAGCGCATTGATTTAGAAGTTTCAAAAGACTTCGAAAGAATCTACGAATTCAGTGAGAAACGCAACGCACATATTAATGGATTTCGAACAGCTTACAAGGACTTGGGAAACCCGCACAAGATGGCTAGTAGATTCGAGCGCTCTTCTCATAAAGAACACGATGCTCGTGGACGAAGGAAGATATCGCTGCTTAATTGAAGCAAATAAGAAATGGAACGACGAGGGCATAATACGCGCCCTTGAGACAAATGTCGTCACATTAGTCCCACCCAAAATCATTTCTCTCGAAAAGCATCGGCAAAATCTTAAAGCGCCACAGGATGAGTGGTAAGATGTAGCATCGTGTGTCTACGATCAAGGAAAACCGCCGGCAATGATCGTCTGGACAAATAGTAATGGAGATAGGATCGAGACAGAATTTAAAACAAAAACTCGATCGAATGGGCAACGTACACGCCAGACAATATTTTTAAGCCCATTGCCTGTTTAAATAATCTTGAAATCAAGCGCAAAATTATTCATGAACACGTAGAAGAATATTCGGCTGAAATCCGTCTCAACGTTATTTTCAGGCCCACAAAACCGGTTATCAACAGAGAAGATGGAAAACTCACATGTGTGTCGACTGCGAATCCGAGCCCAAACATCACATGGACAATGACGAACGTAAATCAAGTTTTAATTTAATCCGTGGAGTCCGAGAACTTAACTCTGGAGGAAAATATAAACCCGCTCGACCTATACACCTGCTCCGCCAGTAATGTTATGGGAACGGAAAGCCTGACCATACGATTACCTAGAGAAATAGGGAAAGTTGTAAAGCACTTCCTACTGATCTCGGCTTTATTAACAATTGGACTCACTTGCGCTATAGTCGTCATCAATGTCTGGAAACTTATGCATCTGGAAGAAAGAGAAGTAAACGAATCACGCATAATAGTGGGAACGAGCTTTTCCGCCGTTTAATACGGAGGAATCTTAACAAAATAAAAGGTCAACGGAAAGATGGTTATGGAGGCTAGTTCATAAAATTGTGAATTTGAACTGGTTTCATCTATCGTTCAAATTGGCTTTAAATTCGACCGTCCAGAAACAGGAACGTAATTATGTTAATTCGAGCCTCTTATTTAAGCTTGCAGTGAGGAAGAGGTACGATAATAACAATCATCGTAACATAAACCAAATCTAGCGACTGGAACAAAACGGTGAAATTTTAACAAGTGAAGAGAACTCCTTCGGCCCGGCAAGACAAACAAAAAGTCTCGAACAATGAGATATTCTTCCAACAATGTCAGATCTCATAATCACCCGCCGGTAAGCCGATTTCGCCTCATTCGCCATCATAAGGCCAGATTTATTGAAGTTAGTTCGAGATCGTTCGAGAATACAACAAACCAGGGAGGTTTTTAATCTCGCCCCTGCCGATTGTGAAATCAACAAGGAGGTTCTCAGCCTCGTCCCTGCCGATGCTGAAATCGCCAAGGAGGCTCTCAACCTCGCCTCTGCCGACGATATTGCAGCTTAACTGCAATCAGAAGATTTTGCAGCCAAACTGCAAAGCCGAAGATTTTGCAGTCAAACTGCACGGCCGAAGATTTTGCAGCCAAACTGCAAGGCCGAAGATTTGCAGCCAAACTGCATGGCCGAAGATTTGCAGCCAAACTGCATGGCCGAAGATTTGCAGCCAAACTGCATGGCCGAAGATTTGCAGCCAAACTGCACGGCCGAAGATTTTGCAGCCAAACTGCACGGACGAAGATTTTCAGACCGAAACTAAGGGTGTAAGGCCAACCACGCCTCTGCCGACATCGGAATTGCCAAGGAGGTGCTCAACCTCGCCTCTGCCGACGCTGGAATCGCCGAGGAGGTTCTCAACCTCGCCTCTGCTTATGCTGGAACCTGACTCAGATCGCCCGACTGGCCTTAGGCCACACAACTGGCCGCGGTCCACCCGACTCGCCCTTGTCCACCCGACACGCTTCAGCTACAAAATGTGAACCCAGTTATCCGACTGGACTTTACCCCGAGACCGGCCGAGCGCCTTTGTCTTCAAGTGACAAAAGTGACTTTGGTCAAAACAAGCAAGCTGTTGTGGATATACCAGGTAATGCTCAACTCAAAAGTCTGAAAATAATGTATAGAAATAATAGCTATCCTAATGGACGACTGGGATCTAGCAAGAGGAGCTTCGGCGCGGGGCCAAAATGGGTCCTCCCTTACACCGAGGCCGTTATGGGCGAGCAGCATGACCCTTCACACCGTAGCCGTTTCTGACACCTGGAGTTGGCCCTTTATAAACCCTACTGCTTTTTACTTTTTATCATTCATATAGAGATAGTTCAATACTGCAATAAACAAGAGATAGATTAGATAACTTATGTGTTTTTGATATATATAAGGATAGATAAGCAAATCCTACAATGGTGTCAGAAGTTTACGAATTCAACTAGCTCTTAGGAAAGACTTTCCCTTCATGTAAGTAACAGTCGGGTAGACTATAAAAAAGAGTCTGCGATGGACTTTAATCTAAGGGTCCGAAATGACCTACAAGCTACGAGTCCGGAATGACTTTAAAGCTACGAGACTGAGATGACTAAAAATATATAAATCCGAAATAATTTTGTAAACTTCGAGTCCAAGTGACTACATAAACACGTGTCTATATCGGAAATAGATAAGAGTCATCAATGACTGAAAATAATGAGTCTATTAGACTGTTAAAACACTGCTGGTTTGCAAACAGCTGTTTAAACGGAAGGTCGGTTGGCTCCTTCCTTGAGTTAATTCCACTCTCTCGAAGCACTTGAATTCAAGTACTTTCCACTTGAGATCAAGTGTTTACACCTGTCAGCTAAATAAACTAAACAAAGCATTATGAGCAATTTCCGGTGAGTAATTGCCCTGCACTTGAAGTACTTGGCACCTGAACATATTCTGAGCGCGAATTTTGAACAGGCAAAGTAGGCGCACTTGCGCACGGGAACACTTGACTTTTTTTTTCGTTTCCGTTATTTGGACACGTGACTTATCAGAACTTGTGCTCAATTGACTGTCACACGCTTATGAAAATACCTTACTTTTTTGAGTCAATGGAGCATTATAGCTCATATACGGATGAAATGAATGAGTAAAGCACTCTTTGAGGAACGAGTTGATCTTCGATGCAGGAAATTTAATTAACTTTTTGGGAGATGGTAAAGTTTAACAATTTTCGGGAAAATGTTTAATTTTAACAATTTTCGGGAAAATGTTTAATTTTAACAATTTTCGGGTAAATGTTAAATTTTAACAATTTTCGGGGAAATGTTAAATTTTAACAATTTTTTGGGAGATATAAATTTTAACAATTTTCGGGGAAATGTTAAATTTTCACAATTTTTTGGAGATGTTAAATTTTAACAATTTTCGGGGAAATGTTAAATTTTAACAATTTTTTTGGAGATGTTAAATTTTAACAATTTTCGGGGAAATGTTAAATTTTATCAATCTTAAGGGAGATGTTTAATTTTAACAATTTTTGGAGAAATGTTAAATTTGAACACTTTTCCCGGAGTTGTTTACATCTCAGACCTTAAATTCGACCCTGTGTTCAAATCGAACCTTATGTTCAAATCGAACCCTGTTCAGTCTCTTGAATTCAGTCAGGTATAATGAACACTTATTATCATTGATAATACTTTTACGCGTCTAGATTGGCCTTTTCAAAGGGAAGAAAAAGTGCTGAAATAGTCGTTACTGCCGCTCCACGATTACAAACGCCACTGAATCTACAAATTCCTCGCGCCCGCGTACCAAAAATCGAAACTTTGAATGCGTTTTTAAGGGTGTTTGAATGGAGACAGGGGGTCAAAAAATGGAGCGAAAAAGTCATTTTAGACCACGTAGAATCCGTATCTGCCATCCAAAAAGAAAAATAGGGACTTTGAAAAATGAGGGGGATCCTTAAACTGCTCTCTTCGTTTAATTCTTCGTCATCTTTAATAAACAATATCAAAAATAAAAGGAATAATCCTCGAAAATGATAAATATTTTTGAAAAGCAAAAGCATATTAAAAATTTGGCTCCTTTTGAAAAGGAAACCTCGGCGGGGCACTGATCGGGCAAGAATCACTCCACCGATTTTGTGTTTTACCCTTGACTTTCTCCGTGAATTAACGGGAGGCTAACATTTATGCATGAACTAACGCATGGGACTTAGTTGGTTTTTGTGGCCATTAATTAATTGTTTGAAAGATGAAAAGTAATAATGCTTTTTCGACAAAAATAAAAATACGATATTATATAATTATTTTATAATAATTATTGAAATTATTTAATCATAATTTTTATGTGTTATGAAAATAAGTTTCATATTTTTTTGAAAGATAGATAAAATATTTATAAATTATATTTCCGGACCGGAAAAAGAGCTTCCGTACCGGAAGCATGTGTTTATATTAAGAGTGTATATTGATCTTTCTATTTGTAATTACAACGCACGTGATTTCGGAGAACCTCGGAGGACCCTTATTTGCCGGGTGTAAGACCTAATTTCCAATCATTCTTCCTTTTATTCTTCACAAAATGAAAAGAACATTGTTAATGAATTAAATACAGTTTTCCCCTTTTGTGAACCCAAATTTCGTGGAGATTTTCTTTATTTTAAAGGGTTTTTGTGGGACATATTTGCAAGGATAATGTTCCACTTTTGTGGATATTTGTCCAGCTTTTTTATAAAAAATTAATGGCCTCAACCGTGTTATTGACTAAAAATGGTATAAAAGGCAGAAAAAAATCGTTTTGATGATGAAACTTCCCATTTTTCGAAGAAAAATTTATCAAAAAATTTGAAGGCTCTACGACGGGAGATTTTTTGAAGACTCTTGCCCACTTTTGTGGACATTTTTATGAAAAGTTGGGACAAAAAATGTCCACAAAAGAGGAAAATATGAATTGTATCATAACGATATTTTTTACGCGTTTTTTAAGCGAAGGGCCTAGATATGACGTCAAATGTGCAAATTGGGGATAGATAAGAAGGCGAAAATGGAGTTTTTATCTAAAAAATTGCTACAAAATTTTCAAAAATATTTTTAAAAAATCTTCCAGTAAGAGTATTAGTAGGGTCCGTACACAAAAATTCTAACTATTTTATCACATAAGTAAATGAGTTGAAATTTTAAGGGGTTAATTGGTTGCCCTATACAAATATAAATAAGCATTTTTTCATAAATTTTGAAAAAGGGTTGAGGAGTAAATCGCAAAAATAGGCTGAAAAATAGCCTTCTCCATCGATTTCAAAAATTTTTATTATTTCAAGTTATGTAAAAAGGGGGATTTTGTAAGGGAGAATATCCCTTACATTAGTGTTTGAGTTGAGAGAGCAATATTCTGTTCTCAGTCACAATGACTTTCCCTATGTTTGGTCGCCGGAGGGCGCTAATTGAGTGAAGATGTTAGGCAAGAATCGCTCTTGCCTGTAGCAAACGCTTGTGTCCATTTCTGGTTACTTCCGGTCAACTTCCGGTCAACTTCCGGTCCACTTCTGGTCACTTCCGGTCCACTTCCGGTCACTTCCGGTTCACTTCCGGTTCACCTCCAGATCATTACTATAAGTGCAGATCGATCCATATACCTTACTAGTGCATTACTGAGCTAATGCTCACTTAAAACAGCGCCATCTAGTGTGTGCTCTCTCAATCTAGTGTCAGCTCTCTAGCGCCACCTAGTGGACACTCAGGAATAGCTCTCTAGTGACCTCTAGTGGTGATACACTAGCGCCACCGATGGTGAGCACAAAAACATATGTTTACAAATAACAATGTATTGACTCAATGTGTGGGTCAATGATTCACTTCTGACGCTTGAATGACATCATCCGAAGAGACTCCTGGAACCTTCTAGCGACAATGACTCACGCTGACGAATTATGACATCATATTGGAGAAGATATTTGATTCTTCTATTACTGTTCTAAGAAGCTACATGATTATTCTATTACTGTTCCACGAAAGTTCTCGAACATTCTTATTATCCCTTTCTGAGTATATAAGGGCGATTTTCGCCTCAATAAATCATTCTAACGAACCAAACAAAAACACTTGTCTTTTTATCCAGCAGAAGAAACCAGCAAACAACAGCAGAAGCAACAACACCAGCAGCAACAACACCAGCAGCAGCAACCACAACGGCCGCTGAGCAATCAGTGGTAACAAGTACTCTCACGGGTACTTGCGAACTCAGGTCTACCGAAGACCGTCTACGCCTTAGTAGAGCTGTTTTGAGTCTTGAATCTTGTAGTCGCAGTGTATTGTCTATTTAGTCGTACACGCATAGACCCAAGTATAAAAACCCGAGCAGGAATTTGACTAGCGTCAGGAGACCGGTACCAGGGTACTTTATTTGTGCCCTATTAGATTTTTATTTTAATTTTCAATAAAAAAGTTTGAAACACGACGAGAACATGTTCAAATTGGAGAATAAAGCTCAAGAATGAGCCTTTTTGCAGCGTGCCGCGGGTGCAGCACCCCACTTTCCTTATTTGGAAGTGGTAGGGTGAGCGCGGCGTAAAAAGAAAAATACCACGCTCAGAATAATAATTATTCAAATTATTTGAAAATAAAAAAGGTATTTAAAGATAAGTTGTAAAGATTAAGTCTCAGAAAATTAACTTAAAATAGAAAACAAATTTGAATTATATAATATAATTTAAATTAAAATCTCTTATGAATAAATCATATTATGATTAAATTATAATAAATTCTAATAAAAATCTCAGCCCGTCTCAGCCCCATCGCTGGCAAATTTAAATTAAGGGGCTTGACATAGGCCGGTCCAGTCCCCAACCCTTCCCGCTCCCTTTTTCCAATTTATCTTTATACACACGTTTTTATTTTTTCTTATGGATTTTATTTAATTATTTAAAAAACCTCACCCTCACCATATATTTCTCTTTATAATTATTTATTAATATCAAATTATTATTATTTCTGAAAAAAAAACTAACAGAGCTTTTATATCTAGCTCTCAATTTTTCGCAAATTTGCGCGGCCACCCTTTATCACGCGCTCCCGTGCTTGATCGAGCGCTGCGCGCCGCGTTCAAAACATCGGCGAAATTTACAGTTTTTTGTAAATTACGGGCGATGGAGTGGGTGTTTCAGATTTTTGAATTTGAGTTTTGTTCGGTCTTCCGGTCATATTGGTACCTTCAAATTTTTTGAAGTCGATGGACAACATATTGAACCCGAAAATGCCCATTTTTGACGAATGATATCTTTTCAACCCTTTAGTTTAGGAAAAAGGTAAAAAAGCAAAATCACTTAGATTAGCTATTTCTAAAATATATTGGAAAATCAAAAAGATTGAGCTTTTATTTCGGGTACCTAATTTTTGTGTACGGACCCCGGTATTAGTCTTCCATGAGAATAAGTTCCCCAAAAGAAGGGGTCCTCCAAAATCTTATGACCAAAAAAGGTCAAATAAAATAACATCAATGTTTGGTCTCTTCCACCAGATTTTTCTTCCAGCTTACTGTGTCCTCCAGAAAGGTCCTCCGAGAGTCACGTGGTAATATCAATACAATTTCAAAATTATTATACATGAAAGTATTTCTTCAAAACAGATTTTGGTATTTCTTTTCCGGAGTCGAAAAAGTCTTTTCTAGAATTTTGAGCTCTCCCAGGATCAGGTCTTTCAGTAGGCGGAGGTCCATAGCGGTAGTGAGAACGAATTGCCATTTTCAAAACAAAAGACTTCTTCTCCATTGAAAAACTGCTGGTCTAATTCTGCATCGTAATCATCGCTGTCGCTTATGATTTCAGGTTCTGCAGCCATTTCAAGGTCATCCAAGCTCACTTTCGCGCCATTTGAGCCTTTTCTAACTTCGCACTTGATTTCTTCGTTGTCTTCCTTGATTTCGTCGACTTCTTCTGCTTCTTCTTTGACCTTGATCTCCTCCTCGACTTCTTCTGCTTCGACTTTGACCTTGATCTGTTCCTCGACTTCTTCTGCTTCTTCTTCGACCTTGATCTCTTCCTTGATCTCTTCCTTGATTTCTTCGGTATTTCAAACTTTCCTTTTGCAACTCGTTTTTCAATTGTTTCATGTTTTTGCGATTGAGGAAGGATGCAATTAGCCTGGGTCTCAGACCCAGGATTCATTTCAAAAGTGACGCCTGGGTCTCAGACCCAGGATACCCCCTCAGAAGTGACGCCTGGGTCCAATACCCAGGATTTATTTAAAAATGAGCAAATTGGGCAGACTTCGTCGATTTATTGTCTGAAAATTTTCAGAACTATTTGCCCCTTACCACGGGGCTCCGCCCCTTAGGTCCTAAAATGCCGGGGTCTAGTCTAGGGTTACTTAGGGTTACCTTCAGTAACCCTAACTAACCCTAGCCTATCCCCCTCGTGTGAGTTTGTTCTGTCATTTTTGCAGGTGCCCCCTAACCCTAACCTTAATTTTAGCAAATACTAGACTCCTTATCAATTATTTATAGGAGGAAATTGTTTTTTTCTTCTAATAACGCTCATCTCCAATTTTCGGACCCAGGCGTCACTTCTGAGGGGGAATCCTGGGTCTGAGACCCAGGCGTCACTTTTGAAATGAATCCTGGGTCTGAGACCCAGGCTAATTGTATACTTCCGCGATTGATACTTATTGCGTTTTTACAAACTTCATCTCCAACGTAAAATTTCATCATCTCGCTGTAGGGAACTCGGCATTTATTTAAAGTTTATAGTTAAAGTTATTTAAAGTTTCCTTCCAGTTTTTCGTATTTTAATACTGTTTATCGTAAGGGTCAGTAACCTCGGCGTAAAACTGCATGGAACAATGGCATAGATCTTCTTTACGAGTGTCTTTTTGCGTTTGGAAGCATTTGTAACAACGGACATTAAGTCGCCATTGAAAAACTAAGAGACGTTACAAATTGATTTTAGAAGTGAATTTAGCTCTTAGCTGAAACAGGATTTTTTCCTATGATTTTACTGTATTTTTGACCACCTGATTACTCCACCACCAGTAATGGTGTTGACTACAGACCTTTCTCTACATGACACAAAAGAGATAACTGAAAAATATTGAGTTTAAGGTAGTCAAAAGCGCTCCACCATTTTGCAGCAGTATAAAAAAAACCTGTTTGAGATAATGAACGTAATTAACACCAACTGTAATCACCTTTTGACTCATCGTAATGGGGCTCATTGGGCTTACACTTCCATTTTTTGAAATCAGTCGGATTTCGTCCGTAAAATCTGAAGATGCTTGTCATCATCAACACGAAAAAACTGACGTTTCCGCCGTTTCCGTGAGCCTGGATTGAGAGGAGTTTTTTAAGTTTGATTTTTGATATAATTTTGTTAAATAATCTTTCAAATAGATAGAACTTTTCCTCGGGAGAGTTGTAAGTAGCAAACTCTTTCAGTTCTTCGACTTCAATCTTGTCAGGCGGAGCAATAGTTGGGAACTGTTTGTCGAATTCATCTCTGCTCCGTTTTTGAGTTTTTTTCTTTGCATCTTTCTTATGCTTCTCCCGTGTTTCAGCATTTTTCTTATCAGATTTTTTCTCTTTCATCTTTTTTTTGACTCCAAGACGTAGGAGTAATTACTATCAGAATGATAAAAACTTTTATCACTAGAGTTCTAGAAGCAAGACACTTTACAAATCGTAATTTATTAATTCAGGCTTCAATCTATCGACACATTCAACTAACTACTCGTCATTGATGCTTCCAGTCCATCCTTGCAATTCTACCAGAGAGGCGTCTCCCCAGAAAACCTTGATCACGGTGTTCTCGCTGTTGGTTACAGAACTGAGGTGAGATTATGAACATGTGATTAGATATTAACAATGTTTTAAGGATGGCGAGCACTACTACCTCGTCAAGAACTTCTGGTCCGAGCCTGGGGAAACAACGGCTACATCAAAATGGCCCGAAACAAGGACAACCACTGCGGTATCGCCTCCTACGCCGTCTACCCGGTAGTCTCATCTGTCGACAACAAGGGCGAGCCATTGTAAATTAAACTCGACTGATCCTGCCACAATCAACACTCATGAACCCAGCTCTTCTCCATCATCCGAAACTCCTTGAGGCGACCGCTTTGAAGATTTGGTCAAAGTTGTTTTCATTACACTTTCCGTTCTTTCTTTTCAGTGCTCAACATGTATGCAAAAAACTAGCTCAGTAATTTTCTTGATTTTAAATTCTTAGCCTATCCGAAATTTTCTGTCAGTTCCACTTCAATTCTTTAATTCATTGGAAAGTTAATAAAAAAGAAATTCAACTTGAAGAACTGCGAAGTTTGTCCAAATGCGTGCCGATCATTTGAGAACTACTGCGTATTTTTTGCTTTTTTTGCATGCTTATTATCACTTTATTGAATAAAACCGATTTTGGTTGAAAGAATGAAAAATATCTTTATTAACAAATTATGCAAGGATAAATGGAAACAAGGAGGTATGGACAGCATCGCTCTTAAAATCGTTTGCATAATCGGTCGGCCCTAAAAGAAAATCTCAAAAGGTTAAGACGTGAAGGAAGCTTACCTTAAATTCAGGAGGCAGAAAAAGAGCAACTAACGAATATGCCGAAAATGAGATAAATGACCAATTGACTTTTCTTTCCTTCTTTTTGCATCTTAATTCGTGTCTTTATTTCATTAAAACGTAACAGTAAAAACAATCAAATTAAATTTTTTACAATGAACAATTACACGGTTTTAGTCATTTAGAGAATTTTTACATGGTTTTAGTCAAAATAGGTTGGTTTTTTACCTTTACACGGATTCAGACAATTTCACCTTATTGAAACCATGTAACGGCTGAATCCGTGTAATTACACGGTTTAAGATATACACGGTTTCACCTTTACACGGTGTCAGGTATTTACACGGTTTTATGCCCGATCCTCCGCGGCATAGCTATTACATAACAAATTGACTCGGTTAGTCTGCTCTGAGAATGATGGAAAAAATAATTCTTAAAATCTTTTAGATTTTGTTTTTAATGAGCAATACTATTTTTGTTGATAAAAACTTTTCAATTTAATGAAAAATTTATATTTAGCATATTAGTGGCAAGTACCCCTAAGAAAAGGATGCAGATAGGCTCTTATGCAGCATAAGTTATGCTTCGCAGTTCATTTTCGTTAGGTCTGACCGTTCGATGCTTCTAATCGTCTTGGTTCCGATGAAATTGCGCGTCATTGAAAGCAACGTTCCAGTAGAAATTTTTAAGAGCAAGAAGAAATATCAAAGTCGTTGAATCGCGACAAATGTGTTTTTCTACAATTGGACTGGCGATAAACTGCGTAGATAGATACTTCTGCAGGTCGATTTGCACTTTGAGAGGGGCATTAGACCAAACTCAGGGGTTGAATTTTGAGGCAGTTTTTGGATTTTTTCAATTATTCTAATATTTATATATCTAATATAATAATGTAAGTTCTTGTTGGTTTCATAAGAATAATCATTCTTCCGTTTAAAGAGGGCCTCCAGATGCTGCTTCGTTTTTAACCAATCAGAGCGCGCCTAGCTTTCTCATGGCGATTCATAACAAACTGCTAGAATTAAAACTACCAGCACAAGAAAATGGTGAATTTTTAGAGAAACTTTCGAAAAGGAAAATGATTTTTTATATAAGCGCTCTCATAATTTTGCAACGCGGAGTTTGTGCTGCACCGCTAAATTTGAAAAACCGAGAGAAATCGGCGATTTCGGGGTCGAATAAGAAATTCAACAGTGTCATTTTTTCGCCGTATTTGATAATCTAAGTTACATTCGAATTTTCATCTTCGATATTGAGGGTTTTTCTTTTTAAAAAAATTGGGTCCTCCAATCGTGCGGAACCCTAGCTTTTGTTTGATCTAAAATTCTGATTTTTTTCGGTTTACAGATTCCGGGTCTGTGAAATGAAGAAGGGCCTTTTAAGTGATCAATAATCAATCATACGGAATCGTGTACTCCCGGTAAAAATTGGTAATTCCAGTATCGAAATTAGCAGTGCTGAAAGAAAAATGAAATCATTTAAAAAACAATAAAAAACAGGAGTCAATTACTGACAACAAGTAAGATATGAGTCGTATATCATATGAGATTCGATAAATTTATTTTAAATTTTGCAAGAAAGTCTGTATAAATTTTTCGATAGATCAAACGAGAACAAACAATTAATTAGGAAGTCCAATATTGTCGGCCAAGAGTCCTTTTCTTCAAACTTATTTATGTTAACGCTTGTTCCTTAAATTTTTCTTGGTTTTAAGTTTAAGGAATCTTCACGGCAGCGCAAGCGCCCGATTTGAAAAATCCACGTTTATTTGCCATCAATTTAAAATTTTCTTTTTCAAGAAAACTTGTATTTTCCTAGCTTATTCCACATATGATATTGTAGTGGTTTTCCTACTGTTTACGCTATGAAATATGGGATTCATGCGCGCGGTCAACGTAATAATGCTCATTGAGCCGTGTCGCACCAAACGCCAAGGCTGCCACTTCATCAGGCATTGACAGCTCGCCCCTCTCCATCCTAGCGTTATGGCCAACGCCGAGTTAGTACGACCAAGTCTAAGTCCGTGCCACCGATGAATGTTGTTCTCTTCTATAAAAACGACTCGACCCCTAAAATTGTATCATTCCATTCCCTGACTTTCCAGGTAGTACAACACTAATATTTTTTCTATTTTCTGTTTAAACCTATCAGGATAAATAAACATATTCGAGATTGATTTCCGATAAAGAAATAGGTAGACTATACTTTAAAAAATGTTTATTGTCTTCGTGAGTAGAAGACGGGTGAAGACTACCTTAAGTCGTCTTCAGAAGGGACAGAAGAGCAAATTCTTTATTGGGTTATACATCTTCGTGAAAATAAAACCATATTGGAACAAATTCAATTGTGTGTCCCTAAAATTTATTTGTACTTCTGTTTGGGTGAGAAAAAAGAAAGATAATCTCCAAAATTTTAACTGAGGAAAACTGTTCCAAAGATACCGAATTTTGGTGAACTACAGGGCAGAGAAGGCTGATTGGGCTACTCTAGGCCAATCCGAGGCGTGGTTGAACCACCCTCGGAGCCTTTCTGCGTTGTTATTTTCCTAAATCGGTAAAACTTACTTTTTTGGGCGTTTTCGAAGTATAAAATTTTCGAACTGACGAGAATCGCTAAAAACGCCCTCTCAACAACATATGTTCTAGAGATAGGCCGTCCTGAATTTTGATTGGCTTAACTCAACAATATCCTCAGCCTCGGGGGTGTTTAGCGATTCTCGTACCTAAAACCCTTGGTTAAAAAAGTAACAGGTGAAAATACAGTGAAACCCTAACTTAAGGCCACATTTTGGATGACAGCTAATTTGAAAAATGGCCTTAAGTTGGGTGATTCCCCAACTAAGTTAAATGACGCTTAAATTTTTCGATTTCTGGAGTAAGGGACTAAATCATGGGAATCAAAAATGAAAGGCGAAGGGTTTTATCAGAAATTTCTCGCACGAACTAGGAATGAATTGTAAAAACTGAATGCGCCATTTGAATCAAACCTTAGGTTATTTTTTCATTCTCTTTAAAATATATTTGCTGCAAACATGTCGCAAGAAGAAAAGAGAATCCACATGACATTGGCCGAGAAAAAAAGATATGCAGAGATTCTAGTGAAGACGCCGAAGGAAAGTGATGCAAAGAAGATTATTAATGGGATATTTCGAAAGAAACATGGTGGAAAAGACCTTCCGACGCGGACATTTTCTCGACTTTATGATCAGCGGTTCAAAATCTTGGATTCTAAATCGAAACGAAGGTTTCAAATGCCTCATTAATCGAACATTTAATCAATCGAGCAATTTGTAAAGAAGATCAAGGAAGAAACCGGAAAAAGGAAAATCAAAATCAAAACACGTGGACTTTCTAATTTCATTCTAAAAATAAGGAACGATTTTTTCCCGATGATGAAGAAATCCAGCAGCTACAAATTGAAAAAAAGGCCTAAAGTTGGGTTTTTTTCGGATGACAGGATTCGGGGATTTTTCAAAAAAGTGGCCTTAAGTTGCTCGGCCTTAAGTTGGGGTTTCAGATCGGGTCACTCATGAGAGTTTTCTAAATTTTTTATAATTTTTGACCTAGAGTGACCTCAGATGACCCCAAATGACTTCTTAAACATTTTTTAATAAAAAAACATAGATAAAAAGTGTTTGGGAGGCATTTGTGACACAAATGGTGTACTTTTTGTGAAAAAGTACTCAATTTTTGTCGAGTTCCCCAACTTCAAGAGCCTATAGCTCCTCAGGAACCCCCGGGTCTCAGTACTTTTCTATATCTCAAAATGACCCTCAGAGCCTGGGCTACAATCTGGGATAGGAGGCACCTTCTGAAAGGTCGAGTTATTGCCTCAAAAATTCTAATTTCTGGAGTTGGCCAGATTTTGGGACTTTGGACGTACCTAAATGCCCTCAGGGTACGAGATCACCCCCAAGTATCAATAGTCAAAATGTTTCCCAGCTTCTGGGCTTTCTAAAACTGTATTATAAGCCCACCCTACTAAGCCCTAAAAAAGTCAAATTATTAGTGATTTCCCCTACTTAT